GTGTGTGTGAGAGAGAGAGAGAGAGAGAGAGAGAGAGAGCGAGAGAGAAAGAGAAAGAGAGAGAGAGAGAGAGAGAGAGAGAGCGCGCGAGAGCGAAAGCGAGAGAGAGAGAGCGAGAAAGAAAGAAAGAAAGAGAGAGAGAGAGAGAGAAAAAGAAAGAGAGCGAGAGCGAGAGAGGGAAAGAGCGAGAGTGCGGGCGTGAGAGGGTCGGCAGGCGATCATAGGAATCAATGCGAGCATGCAGGCCCGCGCGTATATACATCATACACACCATGTAGTCGTAATGTTGTACGACCTGCATCGTCAGTGACCCGGTGCTGTGGTTGATCATAGCCTTACGCAGCGCCATGCTGAAGTCTGGACCTTTAAACTGCCCCTCGTCGTCGAGATAACTGTAGTCTGTTTCCAACTCCACTTCCGAAAGATCTATGCTGTTGTAGTTTGTGTTGATGTGGCCTTTATACTACAGGCACAGAAATAGATATGTAGTGGATACAGAAATAGATAAAGAGACACATAGATCAACTGATGAGGACATAAATGAATATACATACATATATATATATTATATATATATATATATATAAGTAAACAACACCTTGTCGACCGACCGACCCACCGACCCACCAACCGATTGAATGGATTCATGGATGAATGGATAGATAGATGGATGTGTAAATTAAATTATTGATTGATTGATTGATTGGCAAAGAATCAACAAAAATGGCGAGAGAATAAGAGAGAGAGAGAGATTGGTAAACGTGATGGGGAGAGAGAGAGAGGGAGAGAGGGGGGAAGCGAAAACGAGAGCGAGAGAGAAATAGAGTGGGAGATATAAGCTGTTAGGTTGTGCAAAAAAATCAAGTACTTTGCACATAGAGTGGCATCAAGGAAGTGAAAAACTAGAGCGTGGGAAATTGCACACGCTTGTCGACAAATCCAATTTCCTCTAGTACACGGACTTCGACGATTCCGTGCTTTGCGCTTTTTTGCCGCTTAGCCTTCACTTTACACATATATACTGTCACCACTCGTGTCTAGACCACGATTATTATTATTATTATTTATTATATTATTATTAATTCTTTATTCCAATTTCCTCTAATACACGGAATTCGACGATTCCGTGCTTTGCGCTTTTTTGCCGCTTAGCCTTCACTTTACACATATATACTGTCACCACTC